TTTTCTTATCTGTATATCTCAAAGTCTTGTACTTGATGGAAAAATTGTTTTATCTTCATCTAGCATATTGGCCATTAAGTGACACCGCTGTTACCCTGCGACAATCAAAAGATCTATGGGAAAAGGTAAGGACCAGCTGTCCTCTTATCACCATACAAAAATTCTTCAACAAGGTCGACCGATTAAGAAAGCAATTGATGTAAGTACAAATGAAACATCAATCTTATCAGCCAGTATTGCTGATTGGAGTCCTTGATTATTCTCCTTCTAGGCAAAGGATTGTGGGAGTTGATCCCTCAGCGCAGGTCTACACATCCCATTGCTGTGTCTTTGATACAGCTGCCATGGATGAAAATCTCTGAACAGCTTGTTTTTTTTCGCATTTTCCATCTCTTTTTGGTATTTCCAGCATTATTCTTGTTTTTTTTGTTTCACACCTCTCCAAACTTGTCACATAAGTACAATTCATACTCTTCATCAGCTTACTACGTCAAAAACAAATGTAATTATGAAAAAAGATAAGAATTCTCTTTTCCAAAGATTGTTTTAATTACCTGATGAAAGCGCTATGAGTAAAGTATAGGTGTACTAAATCCTGCTCTAAGGAATAGTGACTAAACTAGAACAAGATAACACAATATAAAGAATACATCAATCTACTAGCTTAATGATGGGGATGAGTGAAATAAAGCACCTGTCAAAGGTTAGGATAATAAGATAAAGCACACAATGATTGTCAGCCAGGGTATAAGTGACCTAAGTAACCTATCTCCTGGCTAACATAAAAAGACCTGAATACCACATGCAAACACATAAGAACTGCACAAGAGTGCTCATACTCAAGTAAGATTCTTCCTTTCTCATAATATTTCATAATTATTCTTTATTCTTTTCAATTCATACATTGTTTAAGTTCTATACATTCTTTTTTAATCTTAATTAATAATCAGGAGTCATGTGAAAGTGGTACTGAATTAATTAAGGAAGTATGGGTTCCCAGTTCTGATTCTTGATTTGGAGTGATGACCCAACTCGAGTCTCAATACATCTAAAACCTGCCAGATAACAACATAAGGGGATTGTTGTCTGACGTTCTGGGAATATGTATAACCGGATTGGGTGAATGCTCGGGTTGCGGAATCTGAGGCATCATCAGAGGTAAAACCTTGGACAAGGTCTGTCTGAGGTTTTTGTCCGAGGTAATCTTCTGCGCTGGGAATTGCCTCGGATCAAAATCTCGAACAGCTTCTGTCGGAGGTTGGTAATCCGATAATACCTCAGATTTTTCAATCTGAGGTAAATATGTTGGCGGTGTGTGAGCAGAGGGGAATTTTTCAGGATACTGATAGGAGAGGAGATGAATAATGAGAAAGGTCTGAACTGGACTTTAATTCAAGAGGAAGAACAAAACTTCTTGGGTTAATAATAACCAAGATGATTCTCTCTCCACAATGCCTGATTTCATCAGAAACCACACCTCACAGCTGACAATTATCTCTACTGTGTGTAGTCATCTCCTTAGATGGCTTGCTAGCTCCTTTTTCTGCTGACTTGAGCATCTTGAGTTTTGCTTAACATGGACAAGGGGATTCCTCATACCTCATCAAAACCCAAGCATCACATTCCCAAATTGTGTAAAACTTGGATATGAAATGCTGGTAATGTCATAGTTGTTGAGCAAGAAAGGTATTTTTCCAAATTGTAATGGAAACATTTGATGAACCAAAATATAGTCTCCAAGAGAACAAAAAATATGTGTATGTCATAGGCTGATATTAGGAAATATGGACAGCTCAATTCTTGCCTTGGGATTGGATTGATCATGTTGTGAATGCATTGCAATCAGGTCCTGTTAGTAGACCCAATCTTCATGCTGTGTTCATGTTTGGATGATAAGGATATTGCAGTTTGTTTGATGATATTCCTCATTTGTTGGCATGTACAGGTTTTCCTTCAATATTAACAATTGAATTGAGCTTCAAGACACTTACAACACTCAATTTATCACTATTTAGGTGGTGTATTGTCTAAATAAATTCAAGCATCTTACTGTGTATCTCAATTTGGTGACCTCTCTGTTGTGAACAGAGTTTTTTGGGTTGAGGTCTCCAAAGGTGGCACCTGCCTCTTGAAATGTCAGGGGGATGTCTATACTGGGATCCTATATGTATGTGTATGAAATTGTGTTTTTGTTCAGCTTAACAGAGCCCTCTCTGTGTGGCCGCGGCCGCGCCCTTGCAGAGGGGCTTACGACTAATTGTGGAATTTTGGCGTGAACACTACACTCCTTAAGTGTCCTTATGTAGTTTTTTGAAATTTCCCGCTTCCCTCACAAACAAAATTCAGTTGACTCTGCAGACAAAGTTGTTTGGACAAAAATTACACATAATCTTGTAGCCTAGCATCGCGGCCAGTCTGAATGGTGTGGCCAAAAAAGTAGTTTAATGATTCTTACAACACGTCTGTATTGTTGATTTAAAAATTGGGTATGGTGCAAATACACACTGTACACCTCTTTACAGGTAAGACATAGGGCTTGGCAACTTCCTCAAGAACAGCATGATGGAGTGGTTTTTATCTCTTGAATCTGATAACACAAGATACACATGTAGAAAATGATCATGAATCACTTTCCCTGAGGAGTCAGGTCAAGTTTGTTTGTGAGGCAACACATTGTGTGAGGGAAGTGTGAAATTTTGAAAAACTACTTAAGGAGACTTAAGGAGTGTAGTTCTCACACCAAAATTCCACAATTAGTCATAAGCCCCCTGCAAGGCCGCGGCTGCAGCCTTGCCAAGAGGGATTTGCTAAGCTGATGTTTTTGTCATGATTTTGGGATTGTGATGTGCTTGGGTTATATATGACATGGTGGTGGCCACCGCAAATTTGCTAGTACTACTCTATCTGGACCTGTGGTCAGATTTTTTCTACTCAAAGGTAAGCACATTTTTACTCTACTACCAGTTGGCTTTCTTGGAAGACTCTCAATTCTACTGTGGAAATGAGTTGAGATTTATTGACATGACTTTTGGTGCTACTCATTGCACTTCACTTTGTATGATCCCTCAGCAGGCCACGTCTTTTTCTATGGTATTAACTGCATCATTAAGATTACTAGAACCATACTTCAAATCAAAAAAGATGACCAAACTACATCAATCTTTGTAACAGAAAGAGAAGGAAAATTGAGATTGTTAGGATTCTTTAGGTGTTTATCACAAAGGATACCTTCAATTGGCATGATTTTTTCCAAGTTTAAACCAAATCAAAATTACAATGTATGATCATGATTTAGAAGCATTTGAGATTTGTTCAGGAATGGGATTTTGAAACCTATAGGAGTTTATCAAAATTGGACGGCTCAAGTCAAGTTATATTAACCAAAAGATGCCACCGGCAATTTTCCAAAAAAAAAATCCATGAAAACTGTTTGAAAAAAACTCAATCATGGATCATATGGATTGAAGTTCAATGGTGGTACTACAAGTGGTGTTCTTGGATTATTGTCAGCGTTGAGAACTGAAACCCACCAGAGAAAGTTTCAACGGCAAGGACATACAATTTTCAATCTGATTCATTCTCAATGACTCTCTAACAATCATATCCCTATATACATTGTAGTTATCTTGAAATGGAATGTAAATTACACCTATCACGTGGTACACAAGAGTTGGTGAATTGGCTTGATAACAAATCCTAGGCATGAATGTGGAAATCCAAGTTGGAGATGATCCCTTTCAAGAACAGGTTTGTATTGAATATCACATAAGTGAATTTTACACATGGCTGCTTTACGCATTGTGGGAGCATTAAGGTTTTGATTTGATACTTGAGTTGTGAGGGTAGGGGACTTATTTGAGGACTCTATGCTCACTAAGTGGGTCAGGTGGGGTAGTATTTTATGTATAATGTTTATATTTCAATTATAATGTAATTACAATAAAAATAAGACTAGAATGAAAAGAGGAAAGAGGAAAGACTGGCCTGTTTGGATAAATCCAGACAGACTACAGTTAAGTGACTCCTAAGAAGGAGGTTTATAATTATAATAATTAAATGGTATAATTAATGAAGGATGGATCCAAAAGTCCGTCCTTTAATCTTTTGAGTAACAGATTAAAGAGTGATATAAAGGTCACTACACTGGTTGTTCTTAAAGTCACCAACTTATGGTTGTTCTTAAGGTCACCAGCCTGAAAGTAATTGTACGTAGGTCACTAGCCTTGGGTTGTTGGAAGGTCACCAACCTAAAAGAGTTCCTACTTGGGGGAAGTAGAGGATCCAGAAAGGGTGAAGGTATTACTTACTTTTAATCAAGAAACTGATTAAAGTAATGAAGATATCACTAGTCTTATTTTTATAAGACTCTTGATTTGTACTTCAGTGGAACTTTAATGGTTCTTAAAAGTAGTGTGTAATAATTGCTTGGGGGAAAACTCTGAAGGCTGAGAGAGAAGAGTTTTATATACTCTTCTCTCCAAACCTAACTGTGGTGATATTTGCTTATATCACTACAGTGGTTTAGGGTTTAATTAGTACTATTAGTTATGATTATTATTACTACCTAAT